AAATAATTCCTGGACTTTCTTTTTCCTGCAACTGTCACCACCGTGAATATATAGTTCCGTGAACATGTCCATGTTTCTCAGACCGTGAAAATTTTGCTACCGTTAGTAGTAGTTGCAATTTCGTCATTAGTAGTATTTAGATACCTGCAATATGTAACTTTGAAATTGAGATAAGTGTAAAGTAAAGCTGTCGAGATTTAAAGTGCTTGTCGTTGTATCTTTGTAAAAAAAAGGGAGATAATGGCCAAGTGCCATTTTTGTAAATATCTGTCGAGATTCAAAAAGCTTGTCCTTGTATGATTGCAGTATGATTTATTCAGAATCTTCTATTTTTGTATGGGGAGGGAGATGGAGTGAAATATTACATTTGCTCCGAAGCAAATGTTGGCCTTTCTAGTTTATATTATAGGTTTTAAGTTAAATTGCCTGTGTAGTCTGAACACTTGGGTGATAGGGTGTTTCTGATTATGTGAATGCATTTATTTCAAGGCAGACAAATGATCTTCAAAATTCTAATTCGTCATGATTGCATGGCTTTATTCGTTCTAGAATTACACAACTTGTCGCTCACTGAGTGAAATAAAACCGCACTTTTACTCCAACATAAACTTACTCTTTGTAAATGTATCCAAAATCAACAATTAACGTCATGAGAGTTGACTTGTAGAAAATTGTTTTGCTGGATTTCAGTATTTTACCAGGCGTGGGGACGCTGTGAGTTCTCCCTTTGTTTACACAAAGGCTATTCACATAAATGGACGCCATCTCAGACACATCGCAATACACATCGACCGAACTACAATATAAAGCTTGCATATTATTACCCATACATGTACCTAAAAATCATAACAGACTGATCAGGTCACGTTAGTTCAAACCCTTTAGTCAAGCGTTTGATTACATCATGGTAATGAACCTTACGGATAAACTATTATTTCCAAAATAACAAATTCGGATTTAGACCGGAGTGTAGATTTAGGTCATTTTGACCGAGGAGGTTATATAACCCCAGCGTCGGGGCGCCCTAGCTACGCTCAAATGCGCTTTGTCGTATGGACGACATCACGATAAATCAAGCCAAGGACGCATAGGTTTAAATGCTGTATTAACAATCCTTGATCATTCTAATTTGCTTAGATTCAAGTACTGGCAACTTTGGTTCAAGTAATTATCACCTGAAACATGAATACGCGCAGTACCTAATTACCCCTTATTGTTAGCCGCTTCCTACTACACGCCAAGTGTGCGGGGCGTATATTTCCGTGCACGTGCACGGCGAGCACGAATCCGGGAGTGTAAGGAAATATCCAGGGCCGTACACGCGGAGCCCGGAAATCCATTGACGCGACCAGGACACGGCGAATTTCAAGGGGTGTGTGCGGGCCTGGAAACTCCTGGAAATGTCATTTTTCTGGCAGTGCAAATTCTTTCAACCAGACCTACAAGAGCGTGGGTGATAGAATGGCTTTCAACCCTCTTCAGAAGCCGGAGGGGGCGCCCTCTTTCATATCGGATAGCGCCTGGGCGGCTTGCTGAAATATATCTCGAATAAGATAAGATCCTGCTTTTAAGTGTTATGATGGCAACGAGTTTCTGACGGGAAGATTTTGGAAAAATCGGTTCAAACAAATTTTGGTTCAAACATTAAATTTATCTAGGTTTTTTTTAAGGGTTAATGACCCGCCCCGAGGTGAATATGTTGTGATAAAGCCCTGACAGTTGCTACAACCACCGAATAAAGTGAGCGACAGAAACCTGGCCAGAAACCTGTTGCCATGGCAACGCATTTTTTGTTCTCTTATACCAATGATACAGAATTGTTTCCAACAATATTCTAGGAAACGTCACCAAGTTTGACTGTTCTAGCGTTAGCCGTTTAGACGCTACGTGACATCAAAGTTGTCGCGGGCACTTTTAGCCCCCCCCCCCCCCCGGTCTAGATAGTTAACCCTATATATGCATAATGTTGTTAACCTTCAATTAACTTACACATGTCACAAGGTATAAAATTCCCACCATTCACCAATAAGGAGTCATATAATTTTCACATTAATTTTGCAAATCAGGTCATAATTTGCATAATTGGTATCTGTTGATGTTTCGCCTGCCACTGACTAAATAGATTACATGCATAAAGGTACTATTTTACAAAACACTGTAATCATTGAATTTGCTTCTAAATTATGCAAATTAGTCCTCATTTGCATAATTTGCCTTTACTTTTAATTATCTACAACTCTCCCACGTTGTTCCTTTTTGGAGTTATTAACTATGTTTCGCCAGAAAGTCCCCTGCAGTTCAAGAACAAGCTGCTAGGGGAATTCACACCACTTATTCCTGACAGGAAACACTATCTGTCACCAAAAAGTCAAGACCATGATGGCATGTTAAGAACAAAAGATACAAAAACCGGAAGTTCTGCTGCAGTACCAGGGTCATCCACCAAGATGCCCATATTTTACCTTGATCTTTGTCTTCCTAAGACTTGCCAACATACCAAATATCATCACAATTCATAAAGGCGTTATGAAGTTATGCTGACTACAAATGTACGGAAACACAAACACACACACACACACACAGACACGCCAAAAACAATACCTCCATTTGTATGGAGGTATCTACACAATTACTGATCAGAACTATGCTACTGGTTACCAAACTAGGCTATTGGGAACCTTCGACCTTGACATATTTTACCTTTGGTCGTTTTCGTCGGTGATGAGGGGGGCGGCGTGGTGTTTTTCAAATATCAGCCCATTTTAGTGTAAACAAAGATGCAGGGTTTACTTGTACATTGTTGTCAGATTTGTATTGTGGTGTCATGGCCAGACACGGCGCCTGTGTCATATTTACCTTGTTTTTTTATGTAAGGGAGCTTTAACTTCCTTGGTTATATTTCATTTTTTGGAACTTAAAGAACACGACTTTGAAAACATTACACAAGTAAACTGCAAATTATGTGTTAATGGTAACATTTCAGAGTATTTGAGCTAAAGATAAGCCTATCGGTTTTTATTAGTGTGCATGCAACTTTTACACAATAAATAAGCGGGTCATTTCACAACTCGTTGTGGCATTATATTTGCAGTTACCTGTAAATCATACAAGCCAATTGCATGCGTTTATCTTTATTTGGTTTGAAAAGGGGGCCAATCATCGCTCGAGTCGTTATTTTTTAAAACCTGTCCGTTACATGCCTGGTTGTGGAACGTGCATTAGGCAACATACTAGCAACATACTAGCAACATCCTGGGAGCAATGCTGCGGGCAAAGGCGAGTGATATTCCTTGTGCAAGAGAGTAATAGACCGGACCAGAGGATCGATTTACACCCCTCCCGACTATCCACTGTATCCCGACTCAAGGCCGTCTTGTGCCACAAGATGTGCGGCCCGTTGCCTCAGCGAGGCTTGTTGCACAGCGCGGAATGTTCCTTAGGACATAGCAGATTAGTCGGTCAGGTCTATCACTCGCCTGCGCACAGTCTTTCATTGCGGCCGCCCGTAGCACCACGGACTGGCTCACACAGTAGCACAAGCCACAGGGTGCATAATATGTTGCCTATTGGATTCTGGGAATGGGGAGAGAACATGGGAGTTTAAAAGAACTATTTCTTAAAATCCAGTTGGAAAAATCGTACATTTGTCGTAGTTAGGCTTTAAATCCAAAGATAGGAAAAAATCATTTAAATTTAATATAGAGTTGAGTTAAGGTTGGATAGGGAAATTTTAATCGTCTGCGAATTTGGTGATTTTTGTTTCGTATTTAATTACCTTTAGACGGGGGGGGGCTAAAAGTGCCCGCGCCAAATCTGATGTCACATAGTGTCCGAACGGCTAGCGCTGGAACGGCCAAACTTGGTGACTTTTCCTAGATTATTGTTCGCAACAATTCTGTATCAATGGAATAAGATTATAGTTTTTTGTGTTGCCATGGCAACTTGTTTCTGACAGGCATCTTTTGCTAAATTTAGTAATTTGTTTTAACAATAGAATTTTATGGCTTTATGTCAAGTTACACATGGTTTCTAATAATAAAAACATCCCAGATAATTTTTCTGTAAATTTTATTATTCAAAATGCATACTTTATGCTAATTTGATGACGTCATTGGCCAAAATCCAAGATGGCGGACCATATCATTAGAACAGGTATATACAGGTTATTTTCCTTAACATTTCATCAATTCTTTTTACAAAAAGAAGGTTTATATGAACGTATTGAGTCTGATTACAGTGTAGTTTAGGCTTTATCCTAAAAAAAACTATTTTTGAAAAGTCAAAATTATGATCCAAGATGGCGGATAGCCTAAATATGCATAACATCATTTCATGACTTCTACGGTGTTGCTATACACTTAGTTCACCCTAATATTCTGTCATAAACACTTTTGGAAAGTTATGTTATATACCATTAAGTTTTTAGGGAATAACCTATCTAGACGGTTTTGACCAATAAAATCACATTAATGACGTCACAGGGACGTCATATTACGTGGTAACGGCATAAGAATTGTACTTATTATAATTTTTACGAGTACACCATTTTCTAAAAATTTGGTGGTCATACGACATACTGTTCGCGAGTTCGGGGGGAGCGGTGGCAAATACCCCCACCCCCCACCCCCGATCTCACCAAGCCAAAAAAAGCCCGTTCGAGATTAGGTTAAACCATTTATCATACTATTGTTACTAGGGTGAAAATGGGCACGCCTAACGAACACCTCGGGAAATCGGAATAGGGAAAGATATGTGTCCATTATTCATTACCCTACTTGAGATGTCTTAATATAGTAAATATATATATCTCATGAGGCATTTAACAAATCCTAAAAATCCCAATACTTAAAACATGTGTTCCCAGCGTAAAGTGTCAAACGCTTTTTCGAAGTCGGCATTTAAAATCAAGCCCGGTTTGTTTTCAGTTTTATAGTATTCAATTATTTCAGGAATTCTGCGAATGTTCTCACCTATACATCTATATTTATTACAACTATTAGATGGTGCTGTCTTGAGAGTCCCAATGCTTTACGGACCTGTAGAGACGGTTGACGAGAGTGCAGTGACTGTTCTTTTCCGAGCCGTACAGAACTCAGAAAAGACAGCCAACTTGTCAGACTACGAGAGGAGGTACCCGACACACGTGGGTGACATCGCTGCCGTCTGCAGGCAGCTGTCAGAGAAAAGGCTACTGGTGCGAAATATTTATATAAAAGTGAATGGACAAAACTTAAAAGTTAAAACCTACATATACTCCAAGGCGGTCGGTTGCTACAGTATTCTTGCCCGTTGCTTGGTGCATTACACAAAGTATCGGTTTACAAGTGGAAATATCTTGCCCAAACGTAAAACATTTGTTAATAAACGAAATAGTATGGTATGATTTTAAATAGAATTAAATCTTTGCTTTGTTAATTTTTTACTTAAAATGTGTCATTTTTTTTCGAAAAGACGATTGTATCTCATATTTAGCAAAACGTCGTTGAAAATTTATTACCTCCATGAAAAGTGGAGGTATTGTTTTTGGTGCGTCTGTGGTGTGTGTGTGTGTTTCTGTTTCCGCACAGTTGTAATCAGCATAACTTCAGACCGCCTTTATGGATTGTGATGATATTTGGTACGTTGTTAGATATTAGGATCTTTTTTTAAATTTTTTGTCATGAACATGCTATGGACTTGACTTTTTGGTGATGGATAGCTCTTCTTATCAGGAATAAGTGGTGTAAGTTTTGCCCCCCCCCGCAGCTTGTTCTGAAACTGCAGGGTACTTTCGGGCGAAATCTTTAAAATCCAATAAGTCCAGATAGGAACAACATATTTCCATTTTTTTGGTGTGTAGGTGGCTGAGAGAGAGAGAGTTGTACATAATTAAATGATAATTATGCAAATAAGGGTTTAATTTGCATAATTAATGAGGAAATTCTGAAATTACTGTGTTTTATATAATAGTACTTTCATACATGTAATCTATGGCAGATGCAACATCAAAAGATACCAATTATGCAAATGATGACCTATTTTGCATGATTAATGGGAAAATTCTGTGACTGGTGAATGATGGGAATATTATACCTTGTGACATCACTATGCCTATATTACGTTAATGTAGGTCATTTGCATAATTACTGAGGACGTGTTAAAATAAAGTATGACAAAGGAGAGGAATTTTGCATGAAAAATATTGTAATTTGAATTTAGAAAAGCATAAATTGAACTAGATTATGCTAACTACGACCTTATTTCCATATTCAATGAGACATGTACAAAAACTCATATTTCATGGAAGTATAAGGTCTCATAATTCTTGTCATATATATTTCCCTAAATTCCTAATTTTCCATTTTTAGACGACTATGAATAAGAAAAAAATCGTAGAATCGAGCTTTTTTTTAAATTGATGATTTCAACCCTCAAACCACCATATGCGGTCAAAACTGACCCCAGGCGTATATAAATATGTGCAATTTTGATAAACTAGAATTGCCGACAATTGCATTGCTTCACTACATTTTAAGACATGACAGAGAAAGAAGGAGAATACAGGAGAAACCAGGTTTTACATAGATATACATTTAGTATAAGGTGATATAAAACTAGGAATACAACAGTTGGATAACTATACCCTACATTATTGGTAAAGATGTATTATTTGCATAGTGCAAACTGTTGATAATTAAGATAAAAAAAGCGTTTATGCCCCGCATTCCAATGCCTGAGCAGGAAAGTTATACATACCTACCAAAGCACTCGAATGCAGTGCATGCTATCAATGTGGTATGGGTTGGCGCAGCTGTTAATGAAGTTATATAAAATTATAATGAAATGTTGTTGGTAGATATATAAAGCATACCCACACCACATTTAAGATAATTGGGGTGTAATACTAGGTCTCCAGGATATTATAAGAAAATGGCCCAAAACACAAAACAATTTTGAAAGTCTGTACCCGAAAAACATCTGGAAGTATTTTAACACTCTACCCCGATACAAAATTCCGGGTCATTTGGCCAAAAAAAGCGGCAGGGTTGAATCCATTTAACCTTATCTAGACGGGGGGGGGGGTGCCTGCGCCAACTTCGATGTCACGTAGCGTCTGAACTGCTAGCGCTAGAACGGTCAAACTTAGTGATTTTTCCTACAATATTGTTGGCAACAATTCTGTATCATTAAAATACGATAATGATTTTTTGTGTTGACAATGCGACGGGCATTTTTTGCTAAATTTAGAAATTTTCGTTTCAACAATAGACTTTTATGGGTTTTATGTCAAGTTACACATGGTTCCTAATATTAATAACATCCCAGATAATTTTATGTTAATTTTATCATTCGAAATGCATAATTTTGCTAATTTGATGACGTCATTGGCCAAAATCCAAGATGGCGGACCATATCATTAGAACAGGTATATACAGGTTATTTTCATTAAAATTTCATCAATACTTCCATTTCTTTTTCCAAAAAAGGTTTAAATGAAGGCCTTTAGTATGTTTACGGTGTATTTTAGGCTTGATCATAAAAAAAAGTATTTTTGAAAATTCAAGATTGATGATCCAAGATGGCGGATATCTTAAATATGCATGACGTCATTTTATGACGTCACCGGTGTTGCTATGGGCAACATAAGACTTAGTACACCATAATATTCTGTCATAAACACTTTTGGTACAGTTATGTTGAATACCATGTAGTTTTCAGGGATAAACCTATTTAGACGGTTTTGGCCAATAAAATCACATTAATGACGTCATAATGACATCATATTACGTCAAAACGACATAAAAATTGTAGATATGATAAATTTTTACTAGTACACCATTCTCTGAAAATTTGGTGGTCATACAACATACCGTTCGCGAGTTCT